ATGACAAATATTGACATTTTATTATAATTTAGTTATAAATACTCCTCTGAGTGGGTTTCTCTTTAAGTTAAGATTTTAGTCTGTATACTAGAATAGATCATTTAATTATTATTGAAATAATCGATTTATTCGGATACATTTTTTAAGCCCTAAAAAAACATTAAAAACTTTAACATTGTTTTAAAGCGTAAAACCTAAAAAATGAAAGTGATCCTTGTTTCCATGCAGAAGCAGATCTCAGCCCCTTCCTTTTACTTTATCTTTGCCAAAATGTTCCAGAAAGATGTCGGTAATTTGAAGAAGGAAAAGTGAAATCAGAGGAATCTTGTTCAGACCAAAGTAACAGATGCGTATGATGGTACCGGATTGTGCAGCTGACTGGTTACCTGTCGGCAGGATCCTCAAAGATGCGCTGCAGCCCTGACGACACGCTGCCGCTGATGTTGCTGTTGTCCTGGAAACGCCTCAGCTGCTGCTGGATCGGCGTTGGCGCAGCCAGGCAGCGGCTGATGTCTCCCAGAATCCTCGGCAGCGGGCCCAGCTTGGCTACGGTGGCCTGCAGGAAGGAATTTTCACCCTGTGGTCCCGTGTGTTGGTGTGTTTGTGAGCGGATGGATTGAATGGAGCGCCAGGTGGCGGCGGGGAAAGCAAAACATGGTGGCAGGAAGTGGAGAGGGAAAAAAAAGGAGGGAAAGAAAATGAGGAGGACATAATGGAAACCAAAACAAACCGTCTAGAACTTCATGCTGCTACAGAACAGAACCAGAACACAGCAGAGCCATGCGGACAGTCAGCTCCGACAGGTGAGACGAGAAGAACGGGGGAGGAGGGTGAGGCACAGCACAGCTGGTGGGGTGGGGGTCATGCTGTGATCAGGCAGCGTTAATGAGGAGGTTAAATGAACTCTGGTGATGTCAGCGCCTCGTCACACAACACACCAACTGTTCACCAATCATTGATCAGTAAACGGTTCAGTCAGTCGACCTGAGAGGCTGCAGGGTGAGCAAACATGGTTCTAAAACACGACCCAGCTGAGGGTCCGTTCACACAGTCCTCGTAAATCAGTTTGTCCTACAAGCTAAAACTACCAGAACCTCAGGAAAAACAAATTCATCCAGGATCAAATCTGGATCTGATTTCTGCTGAAAAGCAGCTTTTTCTGCATCGATCAGCTTTTAGCAATGCTAATAAAACAGATTAA